CTCTCGTCAGCCAAGGGACGAAAAAAGAAAAATGGGTAAAATGAATAATAGATTGAAATATCAGCCCAAACCAAGCCTTTATAGTAGTGAGGTATCGAAAATCGAACTTGTGTATTTAAGTGTTTTACACTCACAAAAAAGAAACCTATCATTCTATAGGTATTTGAAGAACTTGTAGCATTTCGCCACAATATTATTCTTCGTATTGTTAGCTGACACTTGGCATATTTAATAAAGTACAAATAGGATTTGTTTTATCAAACTAAAAATAGAAATTAGTGTATCGACTTCCAAATAATTTTAGTGATGTACACACAGTTTTTTTTTGTGTAAACTAGAAATAGAACTAGGTATATCGAGTTACATATAGTTTTAATAACGTACAAACAGGATTTGTTTTTTGTTTTTTTGAAACTAAAAATAAACCTTGGGTATCGACTTATAAATAGTTTTTATGACTTACAATCAAGACTTGTTTTATTAAACTAGAAATAGAAATTGGTGTATCGGCATAAAAATGGTTTTAATAATGTAGAAACAGAATTTATTTTGTTTGACTAGATATAGCAATTGGTGTATCGACTTACAAATGGTTTTAATTACATACAAACAGGATGTGTTTATTAATCAAAAACATAGCTTGGTGTATCGACTTACAAATAGTTCCAATAACGTACAAACAGGATTTATTTTTTAAATTAGAACTAGAATCTGAGTATCGACCTACATGTACTTTTAATAACGTACAAATAGAGCTAAAAATAGATCTTGGTGTATTGATTTCCAAATAGTTTTAATGACCTACAGGATTCTTTTTGGTTTGGAAGAGTTTCGTTGTGTCGTCTTCCGCAAAGCTTTCTTCTTTCGATGTACATATATAATTTTGTTGATAACTTTGGAAGTCAATTGGTTGTACTGCATAGCAACGTTTCATAAAAGGTTGAAGTTAATATTGATAATATACTAAACCTTCACAGAGCCATGACCGTGTGAGTAACATAATGGTGCGTTATTATTGGAAGAATTGTCACGTGTTATAGATGCCTAGTAAATATATCCATTTATTAAGTAAACAGTATTTGAAGATGTACGATTCACTGTTGTCATTTACAGAGGTGTAGTCATACAGCTTGGTACTGACTCTATGTGAACATTGCTAGAGTTGAAAAAAAAGGTTCGTTGAATTCAATGTTCTACATGTTTGAATGTGAATTGAACAACTGGTGATTGTTCTTGTTTCTTTCATGCGTCAGAAAAGTAATTTAGATATATATTAGATCATCAAGAAATTAATGTCGCGTTTTGGAACACTTTCATTAAACACCCCAAAGAAACGTACATCACGTATAATAGTTAAACGAACCGCCTAAACGTCACGTAAATGTAGCCTATACAATGTGTAAAGTTTAGTATCCTCTAAGCCCTTATAGTGATGGCACACGACGAGACACACATTCGGCACGTAATGCTATTTGAAACAAGAAGGGAAACAACGCCTCTGTAGCCACAAAGAATATCAAAGAAGTTTATGGAAATGTTTTGAACGTTGGAAAGTGTCAAAGATGGTTCAGCAAATTTCGTTCAGGTGACTTTAGACCTTAAAAACTATGATGGCAGGGGCCGACATGTTCGAATTGATATTGATGCTCTGAAGACGCTTGTTGAGT